TAACGCAATAGTAGTTTGTGTAAATGTCATAAAGAGTTGACATAATGTAATGGAAAGTTGACATAGCGCAATAGTAGTGTGTGTGTAAATGTCATAAAGACTAAACATAATGTAATGGAAAGTTGAAATAATGCAATAGTAGTGTGTGTAAATATCATAAAGAGTTGACATAATGTAATGTAAAGTAGACACAATGCAATAGTACTGTGCGTAAATGTCACAAAGTGTTGACATAATGTAATGGAAAGTTGACACAATGCAATTGTAGTGTTCTGCTATAAGGCAGTGACGGCGTTCCATAATAAACATACATCAGGTTTAACTTTCGGTTGAAAGTCTCACATTCCATATTCGATCTTTTGAAAAATATCTTTTTTACAATGATACTCAGATAAATGTAATATTACCATAACGAAATAAATAGCCTACATAGAGAGTATATTTCATTTTTGATGCTTGTTTTAACTATTGTTTATTAACAGTACTTCGACGATATATCGAATCAAAGGTCAAAACCAGTGTTTTCTTTCTCCATTGCTTTTCAGTTTTAAATATATATATTCTGTTTTACATAAATACAGAAAAAAGTTCTTCAAATAAAGAGGCAAAATTGGCACCCACGGGAACTCCGATAGTGTTGGAAGACCTGATCTCCAATAACTACAATAGACATTATCAATCGGAAACTCAAGCATCTCTTCAATATCAGTTTCAGAGTACTTGTGTGTACAATCAGAATAGTCTATCAAAATAATTTTGCAAATGACAAAGTAAGAAAATTTCTAGACTTCAATCTTTATTTATTGAAATAGCAGCCGCCTATGATGTCAAAAAGTCTGGACATAAATTTATCACGAGAAATTGTAGCATAAAGTGTTTGCAAATTTTGATTTTATTGGTTTTGTTAAAATTTTAATTTTATATTTTGTTAAAGTTCTTTCGAGATTTTAAGGAGTCTGGGGGTCAACAAATTAACCATTAGATCTTACTTTATTTTAAGATATGGAATCTTAAACTCTAAACTATCACTTAGCAAAGAAAAATTTCACGATCCGTTATATTTAAGTCAGGAATAAAGAAAGAGACTTGATAGTATATTAATTTGAACCCCTATACATCTTTTGATTTTATGATTTTTCATGATGTAGGAATCTAGAAGAGATATGGTAAAAAAAAATCACTTTTGCTTGTTGGGAATGTTGAAATACTTAAAATTGACATATAATTTTTAAGAAATGCCTCTTTAGAAGGGGGTTATGGAAAGAATCACAACTATGTGGAGAAAACGAACAGTATTCGAGCCTAAATATCTATTAAATATTGCTAATTAGGAGCAAAGCAAATACGGATCTCTAAAACATCAGAGGTGGGATCAGGTGCCGTGGAGGAGTGAAAAACCCCTTCCGAACGGTAACACCTGCCGAGTGCTCTTTGTCATTATCGGGAAATACGTCGACAATTAATTCAGTGCGAAAATATGGCCTAACAATCAGTATGAAAAAAGTCAGTCAGCATTTGACTTAATGAATTGTACTTGCTGACAAGGTCATTGTATCGACCATAGAACTTACAAAATTATGACTTTAAACGAGACTGCTGATATTCTTACTTCATTAACTAGTTTGTCGATAACTTACCTCATTTTAGAAATTGTTCATACGTAGTGCTATTCTGTATCGAATCAACTGAGAATGATAAACTCCGTATGCAGGTGAAAAAGAAATATTGCTGCATAAGTAAGGGAAGTTGACGATTGAAAGTTAAAGTCATTTAATTTACGTACATGTAAATCATCAAGCTTTGTTGTTAGATAACCATTAACATTATTCTTAGAAAAGATCCAAATATGAAACAGATATGTCAGACTCTGTGATATCTTTTACTATTTCCAGCAGAATCCACGGCTCAAGATATCAGGACCTTCACTTTGTTTCTCCAATTGAGCAAAGATGTAGGGTACATCTCTTCAACATGAATTTTCCATTTTTGGTGAAAATCGTATTATTCAATTAATATTCTTGTATCAAAAAAAAAATTACATCATCAAAAATGATTTTATTAATGATTGAAAGAATAATTTGCTAGCCCATTTCATGCTATTTTTATTTCGACATTCAAGCTCTTTGGTATAAAGCATCTATTTATCTCAATATTTTATTAAATTAAATTTAACATTTAGATTTGCTTTTTATGGAAGAAAAAACCATTTCCTTTTGAACATTTTCTATTAAGTTCCTTAAGGGCCTTCCTCACACAAATGCAAAATGTTTTTTTGGACATTGAGAGAACTATATTGTATAAAGGTGTTAATTTATATAATAAAATGCTTTCTTTGGTTGTTAGTACGGGAATGAATATCGCAGCTGTTGCAGAAAAAATACATAACCCGAATAAGCGGGTTATGCTATTTTTTTCTGCAATAGCTGCGACATTCATCCCGTACTAACAACCAACGAAAGACATTTTATTGTTTATATTTATATCTGTTTAAATGATCATTTAAAGTAGGATTAAAAAGATTAAATATTGCATCAATGATGAGAACGTCTTTGTACGTTTCATTGATGGAACAGCCACTGATCAAGAAAGCTGTACAGGTGACATGCTTAGTGTACTTCATGCAGTGATTAACGCAATGGGTTTTCTTAAGAAATAAAGGAGGAAATATTCAGTGGATGTAAATATATTGAGGTGATCTATTTAATTTTCACTATTTGATACGTCGGATTTACCCCCGTGAAAAATGTTCAAATACAACATAGTATCAATGAACAGAAATCACTGTTAGTTACTTCCATAGAGACAAAACATGAAAATAACATGTTTGATTAATTTAACTTGCCTTTTTAAAATGTTAAGAATACATGAATTAATTACGAAATGACTAATTTACTGTAATTTCTTATTTTTAAGTTAGATTGCATCTCAATTTTAACAGATCTGTTCCTGTATTCATATGAAGCAGAATTTTTTCTAAATCTAGATCGGTCGGCAGGAGATCCTCACTCCTTCATGGCACCTGATCCCACCTCTGATGTTTTCAAGGTCCGTATTTTCTCTGCTCCTATTTTGTATTTTTTTTTTATGGATTTTGATCTCGAATACTGTTCGTTATATCCATATGTTTCATCTAAGGGCTGATCACTCTAACTACAGAAAAATGTAATAGAATCAGAACTCTTTAATGTGCATTCTTCCGAGGACTTATTTACTATGATCAAACATGTCAGTAAATCTTGATAAAATGATATATTGTATGAGCGAAATATATAATTGAAAGCACGAATGTAATACCTGATAGCGCGAATCGAATAGCTTGCAAGTTGCAAGATTTAATTTCGTAAATGTAAGAAGGCATATTTGTATGAACAAATTATTTCTGTTCAGACGATTGAATAGTTAAAGTCATAAACCTAATTAATTGTTATATTTCTATTAATGTCTCTTTCTGGTAAATATCCAAATATGATAAAGATGTGTCAGGCTATGGTACATTTGATTTGAAGCTCACTGGGATATATTGTGTCGACAATTAAAATGGAATAAATATTGTTAATTGATAATACGTCGTTGATATATCTAAATCTCGATTTGAAGGCCAAAGCAATTGTGTCCTTTCATGTATAAGATTTTGAATGAATTCTGCCTCATATGAATACAAAAATAGATCTGTTAAAAATTGGAAATCCAAAAGATTGCTGGAAGACTTGGTCTCCAAAAACCACATGGATTTTGTCAATCAGAAACTCAAGCATCTTTTTAATATCAACTAGAGAGTACCTGTATGTACAATCAGAATTTTTTTCAGATAATCTTTAAGGAAAATACGGCATTTACGCTTCGTGTGCTTTCGTTTTGTGCAATAAATTACTAATTGGCGTAAAATATTTGTATCTACAAAGTTGTCATTGAATTTGTATTCAGAAATACAATATCCATGAATCCATGAGACAGATTATACTCAAAGTCATAAACTGCCTTACTTTCAGTTGTGGAAATTACTAGGTATAGATAGAGTACATGAATAAGACAATGCATTATTTGAAATACGACTTATAAAAGTCGATATAAAATGAAAATTGATCAGTTATTTGCGCGTTTACTGTCATCAACACACATATATTGCAAAAAGCTCAATTTATTTCTGAGAGGCTTTATGTTTTATGTTTCTGATGACTTAAAAAAAATCATGAATGAAATTTGCTCAAGTATTTTAAAAACTTGGATTTTGTTTTTATCTTTGTACAAACAAGTTTCAAACAGCTCCTCTATACTTTAAATGGTTTATAACAATGTAAAAGAATCGATATTAAAAAATATAAACAATAGATAAGTATTTTCGGAGGACATTTCTTAGTGCATTTACCTATCAACATATTTATTCCGTCTTCTTATACACGAGTATTTTCATCTCAGACATAAGTACTTAATTGATGTTTTTAAGTACACACGTGCAATATTTGGTTATATTGTTTGCTGGGTAGTGAAAATACAGGATATTGATATCTTTTGTAAAATGCTTAACAAAAGTTTTCATTAACAAATACAAACAGTAATTAACAGCCGCTTTTTGTTTAATTTGATTTTAAAAACATGTTCAGATCTCAATTTTTGAAATAAGAAAACGTGCAGTTTCCTCACTAAGGGGTCATGGCGGACGTGTTTTATTGAAAGTAAAATAGAAAAACACGAAACTCATCCCTTGTGTTATTTCAATAAGAAGATTTAAGCATATTTCTGCAGAAATACATAATTAATTTGACAAACCCTTGATTGTTTCATGTTTCAAAAGTTTAACATTTTACGTAATGAAGCAAAGTGTCATTTCTTAATTGGAATGATAAATCGTTTCGCTTGACTACATTTTTCTGTGATTTTTACACGGAAGTGATGATTTGCAATTGTACCTGTGTACAACATTAAAACTGACCAATAGAGCACTAATCCAAAATTTGAAATGGTATAAAAGGAGATAAATTTTACCAGAAAACGCATACTCCCTTGGTGATCATTCTGGGTAACAGTAAGTTAAATCAGATAAATTATGTTGTTCAATTTTAAATTAAATGTTTTAACTTCTTAATTTTAAAAACTTTTAAATTCTTTTTTCAGCAAATGATCATTTTCAATATATTAACCTATGGCTAAATGTTTTTAAAAGATATATTTTCCATGTTGTAATTTCTAAGTTTTGGACGTCATTCTGGCAGGTTTTACTTGATTTATAATGAAGTTCTTTTATTTAAACCAATGGAAATCAACGTCTTGCAACTATCCTATTAAAATTATCATTAACCCTTAAACACTTCTGCGAATCAATAATCAGGGAAATTTACTTCAAGTTAATCTAATCAAATAAGATTCGAAGTCTTTCAAAATTAGATCCATTTTTTTTATTGAAATAGGGAATTATAAAAATCATGTATTTCGAAATTCATTTATTTTTTTATTGTCACTAAAAGAACGACTTTTTTTATTTTGTTTATTTTTAGGAAACATGTTGGGTTTTATCTCCCTATTCACATTGCTCGCTTTGGCAACAGCTAGACCCGGAGGTGGCTACTATCCCAAGGGAGGCTCCGGTGGGGATGGAATAGCTGTCATTCAAACCGGTGGCGGTGGTGGTGGTGGATCTGGGATTTTCTTAGGAGGCGGTAGTGGTGGTGGTGCTGCTGCAGCAGCTGCTGCAGCCGCCGCCGCAGCTGCTTCTGCAGGTGCCGCAGGTGGAGCTTTCGATGGTGGTTTCCATGGTGGATACTACCCAGATCTCTATTACGGTGGCATTGGTGGAATTGGAGGGGCTGGGGCAGCCGCCGGTGCTGCCGCAGGTGCATCTGGACTTGGTGGAGCAGCCGCTGCTGCAGCAGCTGCTGCTGCCGCTGCTGGTGGATTAGGAGCTGCAGCAGGTGCTGGTGCTTCCGCAGGTGGATCAGGTGGATTAATTTATCCTGGACCAATCTATCCTGGACCAATTTACCCACCAGGACCTATCTATCCACCAGGACCAATCTACCCACCAGGACCTTTCTACTTTCCTGGATCAGGAACAGGAGCTGGCGCAGCAGCTGGTGCAGCAGCAGGTGCCTCTGGCTTTGGTGGATCTGCTGCCGCTGCCGCCGCTGCTGCTGCTGCTGCAGCTGGTGGATCCGGTGGAATCATCTACCCTGGCCCAGTGTATCCTTTCCCAATCTATCCACACGGACCCTTCTATCCTAAAGGTGGCTTTATAGGAATCGGTGGAGGCGGAGCTGGAGCCGCTGCAGGTGCTGCCGCTGGAGCTGGAGGATTTGGCGGATCAAGTGCTGCTGCTGCCGCAGCCGCTGCAGCTTCCGGAGGAGCTGGCGGATTCGGAGGTCAAGGTGTTTTTCTTGGTGGATCCGGAATCGGTGGTTCCTCTATAGGAATTATCGGTGGCGGATCTGGCGGTGGAAAGGTGAGAATATTATATTTTACATTTACATTAAGTAAAAAGCCAAACTAAAAAATGTTCGCTTTTTATTAAACATAGTTTTAAAAATGTGTACAGATCTTAATTTGCACTAATGTTTTCTCTTTTTTCATTGTTTTAGAAAGTATACTAAACTGTGATGGAATATTTTAATCAAGACAAGACTGCCTGGGGACTGAATCGTATTTGTAAATTAATATTATAATAAAAATATTTGTACTCATCATTATAATGTTTTATTTTTGATCTTTTGAGGAAATACAGGAGATTTTAGTTTAAATTTGAGAAACAGAAATCAATAACGTATCAAACTTATAAACCTGTATGTTCATTTGTTTTCGGTTACCGTTGAAAAGCATTTCAAAGATCGCATTAGACACCTTTACGACAATCAGGCTGAGAATTCAGACTTTAAATCATAATGGATGGAAATTGTACTACACATTTTTGAGACCCAGTTCAATGATGCTTTGCACATGCTGAAAATTTTATCCCGTCCGTACATCTATAATTAAGGTTTTTGTAAATCTGCATTTAATTTTACTTAAATTGTCTAGGAAATTTGAGGCCTTGATTTTGAATGCTGGTTTCTTTGTTGTTGAAAATGGAGAAGACAACGAACAGTTTTCAAACTCTCAAAGTCCATGTCAACAATTCAGGTACAAATCGGGAGCAGAACAAACACGGACCTCCAAAAAACATCAGACATAGGATCAGGTGCTATGGAAAAGTGAATATCCCATACATACTAAACACACCCTCGTCATAATCGAGAAAAACGAAGAAAACATCCGTAGACGATTCATTTGTAAAAAATGGCCTAGTGAAGTCGGCATTTGATCTAATGATAGGCTGTACTTGCTGACGAGGTCATCGTTGTTAAATTGTAAAATGATCCAAAGTTGAAACGAGACTGTCGATATCTTGTTTCAATAACTTTTTCTGACAATTTGCTTTGATTTGGGAAATGTTTGTATGTGGAGCATGTTTTTGTTTAAAAATCAACTGAGAGGCATAAAGCTAACCCAAAATGCATGTGATGAAGATATATTGCTACAAAAGTATTGGAAGAAATGGACGATTGAAAATTTGAGGTCATCACTTTGAATATATAAGTCTTTGTTGTTTATGAAAAGACATGTCAACTCTGCGTTATCAAGGATATTTTGAGTCGACATATGAATGAACGTTACTTTTGTTAATTGATAATAAGTCGTCGATATTTAAAATTATTGCAAAACTTCGGAATATTATTCATTTATGTACATGTAGATAATTAAATCAAAAGTTGTAAAACAGGGCAAATTATAATCTAGTAAAAACGGTTTGTTGGTAATGATGTTATTGAAATTGTTGAATTTAGATATCTGGGTTTATTTAGCATTAACAATATAAACATTTCCTAATAGGACTAACAACCCCCCCCCCTCTCTCTTTCTCTCTCTCTCTCTCTCTCTCTCTCTCCATGCCGTTTCTTTTAAGTAAAAATACCCAACCACTTTTGTAATCTGTTATGAAATATAAATAAGACATTTTTGTTTATGATAAACGCCCTTATAGGTTTATATTAATATAAAACAAATCACAGACTAAAACTAGTGTTTATAAAAAATAAGTTGTGTCTAGTTCTGTTTTTGATGTCATGTAACTTGGTGGCAATTTAGATCTCTCTCTCTCTCTCTCTCTCTCTCTCTCTCTCTCTCTCTCTCTCTCTCTCTCTCGGGGGGGGGGGGGGATATGCGCGTATATGTGTCAGAGATGATTTGAAAGATATTGTTTTGCAAATGTTTTCTATTTTATAATGTGACTTATTACAGTTAAGTATAACTTGACATAATGCAACCTTAAAGTAGGAAAGCCGTATCTTATAAACACAATTTTATACTTATTTTACATAACAGAGCGCAAATAGAATAATGTTTACTTAATAGAGATCATGCACCAAAAGAACACGTCCAAGAAATCAGACGTGAATTTAAACAAATCTGAGGGATTGCAGAGTCGAGTTCATTCCTCCATGTGAACTATCTCAGTCCCAATCATTTTTTTATTACGAAAACGGAATTTAATTGTGCATAACATTTGTCATGAATTCTGGGAACAAAATCATCTTTCTTACGCTTCTGTTATTGGAGGTAAGTATGTTTTACCAATGTAGTTTAAATGTTGAAGCTATGAGATTATATTTCATGTTAGCTTGAACTTGAAAATCCATCCATTTCTGATACTTTTCAAGAATTGTGGTATCATTAACTGTATCCATGAAATATCTTAAATTCCGAACAAAAATTCCTTTAAACATCTTTGCATCGTCATTGGAGTTGTCGATAAGAGATGGATACCTTTCAATAATATAGAAAGTGTGGCAGCGTCAATGTTCTGCTATGGGAAACCCGAAATATGTGTTCGATTAAAAAGTCAAATGGGAGGTGCACAATAGCACTATGTAACAAAGATTAATTGAATGTTTCATTAAATTACATTCAGCGGTATAAGAGGAGTTGCGGATAAGAGATGGGTTCCCCAAAGCGTTACGGACGGACGTACAGACGGACGGACATCCCACTCACTATATACCCTCCCGCTTTTCAAGCGGGGGTATAGCAAGATATGTTTGTGAATCACAATTGCATGGCATCTCATGACAAATGTTTCGAAAATGCAATTGAAACTCCAAGCTGAAAGTCAAAACGTTTTTTTTTTTCAAACTGCTATCAAAAGAAAGATCTTGTCACAAGAAAAACGCATGCCAAAAATGAAAGCCCCAGCACCAACCATTCAATTATTACGGCCACGGTCACAGTCTTTCCAAAATAGATCAACTGTTAAGTCAAAATTAATGTAGACCAAGGAAGGGTCTTGTCATAAGGACGATACTTGTAAAATATGCAGGCCTTGGCAGTAAATACTAAAAATTAAGAGCAAGGTTTAAGTTTTTATTTAAGAAATAGCGCAGACTCTTCATTCAAGGTCTTTAAGGGTCAAAATCGTTGGTGTCAAAGTGATGCTCTTGTTACATAAAATACACTTTTGAAATATAAAAATCCTTGCAAAAACAAATTTTAAAGAGTGAAAATTGTTGGTACACAAGGGAAGGTCTTATGACAAGGAAAGCTCATGTGTAAAAAGAAACCCCTAACTCCACCTTTTTTAACATTATGACCAAGGTAAGTTTGGTAAAATTTTATACACTTCTACATACGTTTATACACTCTATATGCATATTCCCTGTTTGTTGCATTTTTGTGACTTTTCACAACAAGTATAGGAAGTGTATGGACTATATTCGCAGCACTCCTCCTCGGCAGGACACGGATGTGATCCGCAAGTCATAGGTTGTGGTTGAGGAACATGCGGATCGTAGTTACAGAAAATCCCAGAACATTTAGTTCCAGGTCGTATGCTAGCGACGAAAAGGTCAAGAACGGAAGTCTGCTGCATCGGTGCTCCATTTGTAAATGGTCCGTTCCAGTCAGGTGAAAACACGGGCCCTGAAACTTTGAAATAAGGGGGGCCATCCTTAAATGTGATGTTACATCGAGATATTGGGTCTTCGTTACACATATTGTATTTTATGTTAGCTTGAACTTGATATTCCATCCATTTCTGATACTTTTCACGTATTGTGGTATCATTAACTGTATCCATGAAATATCTTAAATTCCGAACAAAAATTCCTTTAAACATCTTAGCATCGTCATCGCAGTCAGGGTCACAGTTCTTTTCGGTGAATATACCACTGGTATTACTGTTGTAGTCGATAGCTGCTGTGGCTATCTTATCTGCTAGAATAAGGTAGGAATCGTTATTGGTAAGTTTATACATTTCTGAAAAAGCTCCGATCATAATGCCAGTTTCATAAGTATATCCAACACTGTTTGAAGGTTTGCAAGAGTTTAAATCAATGCCATCACTGATGAGAAATGTAGAGCTGTTGATTAAGTTATTAGAAAATATGTATTCTTCAATCTTTTTGTATTTACTCCTGAATTCAGTATTGTTGGTCAGCCGATAGAGTTTGGCGGCTAGATGGTACATTTGGACATCTGTTATGGTCTGTTTAGCATTGAAGTTGTTGTCAAACCACATGCCTCCGTTACACTGCCCATTAGAATCCCAGCCCGTCTTCCAGCTCCAGTTCAGGATGTCTATGGCTGTCTGAAGAAACTCTTGAAGATTGAAAAGTTCGTATATCCTGGCATAGCTGAGACCAAACCAACCCATATCATCAAAGGAAGGGTAGGGTCCATAAGCTTCCATCAGAGAATAAAGGTCTCTATGGGAACCCGTGACTACAGTCAGATATTTCTTGTGCTGGGCGTACTCCATAAAGTTAGCCATGGGCTCAAGTACAGCACCATTCTGCCAAAACCCATCATACCCGTTCCAGATCTACAATTTCAATGTTCCCATTGCTGTAGTCTATAGTATGTGATTGTTGTGACAAATCCAGTTTTGAGGATAACATTCGTTTTGATGAAATGAAATGTCTTTACTGACAGTTAATCTTTAACCACAAATATCAGACTTTATAAAGTTATATATGTTTATCATGTTTCGGTATTTAAAAAAGTTACCTGGTAGCTAAACAGACCAGCTATGGGTGACGGAAACCAATTCGATTGATGAGCAAACTCCGTAACGCAAGCCATATAAGCACTGACGTCATTTCCGAACATATTCATGGAACAAGTTCCGTTCTCATTGGATATTACTGTGCTAAGAGTGTAACCAAATGTTACACCGAAAAATACTATTATTGTCAAAAGTCTCATTTTAAAGACTTGTTTTCTAGCCTACTTTAAACATCTGATAGGATGCAGATATATTTCTGATAACGGTTAAATGGCTGTTATCGCTATATATTGATAACGATTAGTCCAGTATTACATGTAAATGCTTCTATTCAAATGAAAAGTGTCTATACGGTTACAGTTGTGTATGGGTTACATGTGTGATGAAGTGATGAAAAATACGTATCGTAAAGATTTTTTTTTTCACTTAATTTGTAAATGCCTATTTTCAATATCATTTCTCTAGTGAAATATAGAAATGATGTCGATTAAAATGCGATATCGTCAACATTACATAAGAGACCATATAACAATGTGTTTGAGACATATCTATATGTCTATACAACCCCAACTCCAACCCCTAAGTTTTTAGCAGACTTACCCCGGTACTTCTGTACTTATATGAAGTAAAATATATTCAAAACCTTATACG